GTCGGAGCCGCTCGGCCCAGGCCGGGATTCCCGTCCAGGGTACCCGTCCCCTTCCCCGCGCCCACCCCTCGGTCCAAGCGCCTCCTCCGGGCCGGGCCGCGCCGTACCTGAGCACGCGCCCGGCAGGAACCTCCACATCGGCGGGTTCAGGTTCGGGCTCCATTGGGCCGCCGTCTGCGGCTGCGCGCGCGCCGCCCAAGCCCCGCCCACTGCCGGAACTCCGCACGGCCCTAAAGCCTGTGGATCCGACTTCTACGATTGCAGTCTCCGGAACAACCCACCTGTGCTTTCCACCCTCCTGAGTGTCCTGAATCCTAGCGCCTGCTAACAAACATGTGCCTCGATTCTGGGGGCGGAGAGCTTGCAGGTTTTTGGATTTGTAGGAGCTCCCCTCCCCTATCCCCAGCCCTCCTCTGGGCTCCTCTCTAGTAAAACTTGAAAAGCCCGGCGTTTGAAGTTAAGTATGAAGAGTCAAATGCGTGACCCTGCCTTCCGCAGCCCTGGGCTGCTTAGTGCCTACCACCCAGCTGGACAGGGAGGGAAGAAGAGGGGATTTAGAGAAGGGAGAGCATTGGACTCCCAAATTCTAGCTTCGCCAACTGAAGGCCACTGAGGGCTATCAGGTGCGGTCTAGGGAGGTTCGGACTTCTTTCAGGGTCTTCCGTTGAGTCCCTTTCTAAAGGCTCGGAAGCTGGGTTTCTAGGGCCGGGGAGGGGGGGCGGGAGGCGCTGTCCGACCCACGATGGTGCTGAAGCGCCACCCCAGCCCGTCATTAGCACCTCCTCGAGGCTGGGGTCCCCACAGCCGCCACCGTGGACTTTTCCAACAAGGTCCGGTAGGTGGCACCATTACTCCGACTAGTGGCTTTTGGTATGCGACTCTGGCCGCGGGCGGAGGTCGCCGCAGGAATCCCGGGAGGGGCGAGGAGCAAAGAGGAAGAGAGGTTTCCCAAGTGGGAGTCCCAGGTCTCGGTTCCCAGATCCCTTCACATCATGTCTTCTCTCCTACACAGTCACAAACAGGGTGTCTTATCCTTCGTTCTGAACTCTAGAGCCCCAGGTCGTGCCGGCTCCACAACCCGGACGCAGTGGCGCCCACTCTCGCTCCCACCCGCGACGCTTCACCTGGGCGCATGCGCAGACTGGGCCAGCATCCTGGGTCCGGACCGGGGCGATGGAGGCGGGGCCTGGCGCGGATCGGGGCGGGGCCGCAGGCACTGACTGACAGTCCGACTGCGCGGCCGGGACGGTCCCTCCGCTCCCGATCCGGCGGGAGGGAGGGGGGAGGGGCGGGATTTCCTGCGGGAGGCGCCGAGCCGGCCTCGGAAAAGGAGGAGGAGGAGAAAAGGGCCAAGAGGGGCAGTGGGAGCCACCGTCCAAGTGCCAGGGACCAAGCAGGACCATCTGGACCCCTGGCGGGGCGGCTGGGAGAGGTGAGACTGCGGGGCCTGAGTTGGGGGTCAGCACCCTTGAGGGCAGGCACAAACTAACTTTTCTTGCGGGTTCGGCGGGCTCCTTCATCTGTTGGCTTCTTCTGTCCTCCTCGCGCCCCTATTCCGTCCTCCCGCATCAATCCCTCCGGCGCTTGGCCCTCCCGGTCCCTCCTGCTGCTTTGTTCCCGGGTCGGCCTGGGTTGGGCTGGATTGGGGGGTTGCGCGGCGCTGGACTGGCATTCCAGGGGGCGGGGGAGCCAGCCCGACCCCAGGCACTGCCAGGGGCGCCCTCCCCCAGTGGCTGCCTTGGGCCTTGATCTGGAGTGCCATCTGGGTTGGGCTTGGGACGTTTTGGGAGTAAGGGGACCCCAGCCAGGGCCCCAGGCCTGCATGGCTCTCATGCCACAGGACTCGGGCAACAAATTCGCCGCCACTGAGGAACTGCCTGTAAGTTTCCTAAAGTGAAGCCGGGGCTCTGGGCCTCAGATTCAAGCTTGGGGAGCCAGGCAGCCCCTTTTACCAGTAATGCCCCAGCTCTTGTCTCTCTTCTCTGCCCACCTGCTTCCCCATCTTGCACAAGGGGTGAGGATGGGTTAGCAACAGGTGCTGTAAAGCCTCCCTGTCCTGCCAGCAGAGCTGCCGCCAGAGATGGGGGGCTGTAGCTCCCCACTCCACCCTCTGAATTCATAAAGAGCCCTGGGGCTAGGGCATCCAGATATTAGAGCAAAGCTTAGATAGGGAGGAGCCTGGGGGCAGGCACCTTCCACAGGGAGTGAGCCCTGCCCATCTGCCTGTGCTTGACCCTCCCAGGCCCCACCTTCTGGCCCACCAGTTGTCGGTGGGTGTCAGAGCCTTGGGCTGTGGAGAACAGGCTGCTGGCCCCGCCTGCCCCAGTGTGTCCTGCTGCCAGGGCCCCTCCTGCCCCAGGTTGAGGTGCTGCCAGGTGCCCCGGGGCCTCAGTGACTCAGCCTCCCCCTCCCAGAACACCACCTCCCCCCCTCCAAATACTCCTCTCATGCATGGTGGTTCCCTCCCCTCTATGAGTGGCTCAGCGCCTCCCTTGACTCAGAATGGCAGCTGGGGTGATTTGGGGGCTCCCTGGAGGCCCTGCTCTGTTCGTTCTCTGAGCCCTGCTTCTGGGACCTTTCCAGGCTCTGGCACAGTCTTCAGCATACCTTCAGTTGACCTTTTCCAGACTCCTGAGACCTGTCCACCACTGCTGCCTGAGGCCCAAGGGAATGCTGGCTGCTCTCCGGGTGGGCACTGGTGCTTCAGAGCCACATTGGGAAGATTGGTATACCCAGTCCCGGCCCATCCCAGGGCTGTCAGAAGCTGCAAGCTGATATCCGTCCAGATTTCCACACAGCCTCCACCCCCTCAGAGATCAGCTTTCTGGCTTGTGGCAGCAGCTCACGAAGCACCTTGAAGGAGTACTTGTCAGCACCTAAAAGGAAATTCACTGCCTGGGAAACCAGACACGCTTCCCCTGGATGCCTGGCCATCCAAAGGGCCAAGGGATGGCATCCTGACGCCTCAGCTTAGACCAGTTTCCCGCCTCTACCCTGGATTCCTGAGCCCACAGCCTAGCCCAGGGACCAGGATGGGTCGCGAACAGGACCTGATCCTCGCTGTCAAGAATGGAGATGTGACTGGTGTGCAGAAATTGGTTGCCAAAGTCAAGGCGGCAAAGACAAGTGAGTACTTGGTGGGGTGACTGTCCAGCTGAGACTTCCCTGATTGCCAGGATATAGAGAGGTCTGGGACAGGGGTCACTCTGATCTGGAGACTTGGGGTGGGAAGACTGCCTTTTTCTGTATAAGGCATGTCTCTGTGTGGGAGAGCCAGAGAAGAAGTTGGGTCTCCTTGCTGTGTCTCCTTAGGCAAATCACTTAACTTCTCTGGGCTTCAGTTTCCCCACCTATAAAGTCAAAGGACTGAAGAACATTCATTCAAATTTTTTTGAGTGTCTATTGTGTGCCAGTCTTGGTTCTAAGCACTGAGCCACAGCAATCAACAAAACAAACCGAAATTCCTGCCCTCATGGAGTTGTCTCTAGCAGGTGGTTTTTCCAGTGTGTTCTTTGGAGCTAGGGGATTTTTTGCAATGGGTGGGGAAAGACTGAATACGTAGAGCTTCATCCCCATCCCCACCTCCCAATTCAACCAGCACATCTCTGCTCTTTTGTCAGCTTAATGCAGGTATCTGTAAGATTTCTTTTAAAAGAGAATTCTGCTTAAAACAAAGTTCAACATTATCTAGCCACTTACTAAAAGCCCCCTTTCCCCCTGACTTATCTGCCTTTGTCCCCTGGAAGGGTGTGGCCAGAGTTAACTTTCTGAAGGTTTCTCCACAGCCTCAGGTCACTAGTCTTGACAGAGTTGTGGGGGCTTCGTGCCCAGGTGGCCAAACCTGAGCCCCATCTCTTGAGTACCTCTGCAGTGAGACCTCCCCCCAGGAGAGTGGACCTCTGGGCTTCAGGCAAGCTCTCTGGACTGTCCCAAGAGGGCAGTGAACTTGTCCTCTTGAGTTCCTAGACCAGCAGGGGCAGATGGCTCCTGCCACCAAACGGGCTGGAGGAGAGCGAGTCCTTCCAGAGTGCTGGGGTTCTAGACCCAAGACAGACCTTGGCCTTTTGCACGGGAAGGAGTCCCCCAGGCTACCTGAAGACATCTAATTATCCCCACTCACACCTGGGAGTATGGGGAGCCAGAAGGAAGAATTTTAAGGGCCTGGGAGTTGTGCCCATGTGTACCCACTTGCACAGCAGGGCAGGACACCCAGGGTATAATGAGATGGAGCTGTAGGGGGTGCTCTCTGTGCCCTGGGGAAATGGGTGCAGGGTGAGCTTGTTTGGGGAAAGGTGCCAAGCGGGGTCCAGGAGGGCCCTAGAGGCTCAAGAGTAGGAACCACTACCCCTCCTCCCCTCACCTCTGTGTTGTTTTTGGCAACCTGCCAGTGGAGGCTTGGTTGAGCTGCTTCTGGCCTCAAGGCCTTGGGGCCTCAGAGTGAGGCCCTCAGGAGGGCAAGCGATTGGGGTCTCGAGGCTGGTGGCAGGAACCTTGCAGCCAGGCTCCTAGGCTCCAGAAAGGTCCCCTGTGCCCAAGGGGGAAATGTCTGTGGTGAAGAGGACCCTTACCCCAGCCCCCAGGGGATTTGCACAGAGTAGAGGCACAGGCACAGAGTGATAGGGTCCTGGGACTCCTTGTGAGGTCCTGGCACTGTGTCTCCCCAGTCCTCTGAGAAGCTGGGAAAGTTGGTGGCAAAAAGGAGATCACAAGGTGACATTTGCAGCCCCTTCAGTTTATGAAATATTGTAATCCCTTCAATTCCCTGTGAGATGGATATTTCTACATACACTTTACAAATAAGGGAACTGACTCTCAGAGAGGGTTAGTGTCTTGCCCAAGATCACACAGCCATTGTGGGGCAGATCAAAGACAACCCCATGTCCTCTGCCCTGTGCTCCCATACTGGGCTGCCCATCAGAATAACCTAGGGCTTGTTCTGAAAGTGCAGGCTCCCTGGTCTCCCGTGGAATTATAGAATCATCACAGAAAGTTCTTCTGGTGATTCTAAAGTAGTTCTCAGAATACTCTGGCTCCATACTCAGAAAGGCAAAGGAAACTGCCGGAAGGGAGGTGTCAGGGCTCCCCTCTTCCCCTCTGGGTGGTGGCTAGAGCTTTCTGGGTGTCCAAAGAGAGGTGCTCCCTCAACCTACTCCATCTGATATCTGGTCACAGGGGGCCAGCTTTCCCTGCCTACCTAGGTCTTCTTCAGGAAGCAGGTGGCTGGGAGGAGAGGGGTACAGTTGCCCTGGCCTTGCCTCTGCCCTCCCTCCCTCCCCTACTCCCTTTTCTGAGCCTTCTCCTTCTCTGGCCAGAGGAAATGGAGTGGACTGGGGGTGGCCCGCTGAGCTCACATCCTCTGCCCCAGCCTAAATCAGGAGCGACCCTTCCACCCCCAGAGCCAGGCCTGGAAAGAAAGTCGAGCTGCAAAGGAAGTGCCTGGAGCCACTGCCAGGAACCTGGACCCTCCACCCTCCCAAGGTCTCCAGCTCAGTCATTCGGAGCCTCTCCCCAACTGCCTTTCCGGCCATTGTTCTGGAAAGAACAGAGCCACCCAGCCCCTGTTCCTGTCCCTCCTGTCACGTTGTCCTGCCACTCCTTTGAGGGGCCGCATCTCACCATCAAGCTGCCCCATCCCAGACTGTCCCAGCAGGTGGAAGGACTTTCTGTGTCTCTTCCCTATTTGACCTTGTTGTCTTCCCTGAGGCTCAGAAAGGTACCATGGCTGGCCAAGGTCACACAGCCAATAAGAGGGAGAAGAATTTGAACCACGCACTTCCTGCTTCTAGGGCCCCAGTTCTTTCCACTGCCCTGAATGGTTCTGTGTGACAAGCACTTTCCAAGGGGGGCTCCAGGAAAGCTGGGAGGCCTGTGTTTCTTTCCCGCGGCCCCCACCCCCTCACCTCTTCCATCACTCCTTGGCTCTGTGTTTTCCTTTTTGATGTAGTGTCATTCGGCTCAGCCCTAAATGTAGCTGTCCCCTCTCTCCCCATCCTAGGCTCCTCACTGCAGGGTTGTTCCCTCCCTATTGGAATGAGGCCCTGTCTTGCTGGGGTATTCAGGGGCCCACGAGGGCCTGGGGGGCAGGCCTGGACCAGCATGCTTGGCACCCTGCCCAGCCGGGTTGAGCCAGGCCTCCTCCTTCCCAGCAGGAGTGGGTTCCAGTAGGAGGCAGGGGCCGCCAGTGATAGGCATTCTCCTTCCCCTCCCCAGCACTCATCAAGGGCCGCCCCCTCCTGTTCCCTGGCTCACGCATGGAGCACACCTGCATGAATCCTGTCCCTGCCCCCGAGAGGGGTATGAACCAGCATCCTACCCATGCTCCTGGCTTTTCTTGCCACCACTCATTAAAGAGCCCCCTGCCCCAGGGTGTGGACCTCTCTGCTAGGAGCCTATGGGTGCAGAGTCAGCAGTTACTCCCCTGACAGGGGCCAGTGGGAGGGTCTGTACCAGCTTTTGCTGGAGGCCAGCATCTTGGTGGTAATGGCTGGTGTGTAAGCGTGGATATCTCCCATCTTTTGCGTGCTGACGAGGGTCAGGCATTGTGTACACACCCCTGTGAGCAGGTTCTGGGATCAGCCCATTTTACAGATGAGCACGGAACCTAAGAGGTTAATTGACTTGCCCAGGAACACATACCTATTACATGGCAGAGCCCAGGCACGGTGGAGGTCTGTGTGATGCCACCTTCCCCACCAGGCTCCCACTCAGGGATGCCCCAGGGCCAGGCAGTGTACCTTTCAGTCCAGCCCTGGCACTTGCCCTCTGCTCTAGGGCATCTGGTCCCCCCTCCTTTCTCTCCCAGCCCACTCGTGTCCCAGCCCCCGTGGGACAATGAGACTTGCTCCTTGGCCCTTCAGGCAGGAATGCTAACCATGTGCTCGTGGGCCTGTCCATAGAGGGCACGGCATGCCAGTCCCCCCCCCATCTCCGCCCCTTTTGACTCTATAAACAAGCGGGGCTGGGGGCCTGGGGAAGCCAGGCCACTACTGCAGCAGCTCCCTGCACTTGGTACCCTGGAGCAGCTGGGCCACGGTCGAGAGCCCTGGGGACAGGCCGGCTAAAGGGCCATGGGGCAGGTGCTTTTCTGCACTCCAAGAGGTCAGCTGGAGTTGGGAGGTGGGTGGGGAGGGTGCACTGGGTTAGGTTTGGGTAAGGGTGGATCATTCGAGGGTGCCCTGATGCCTCCCGCTCTGACCCCCAGAGCTCCTTGGCTCCACGAAGAGACTCAATGTCAACTACCAGGATGCTGATGGGTGAGTGGGAGCTCTTGTCCCTCTAGAGAGAGCGGTGGGGTGGGGGCGGGGAGGGGAAAGACCCGGGGCCTAGAGTCCCTTCCCCTCTCAAACTTGGCCCTTGAAGTGTGTTTGTGGATAGCTCTGGGCCCTGCCCACCCACCTGCCCATGGAGCTCTCCCTTCGTAAGGGGAGTGGGCTCTGGTGCCTCTATGAGGGGCCTCCTTGGGTCAGATTCCTGCTGGGCCCCCTTTTCTCCCTGGAGGGTAGGAGCCCTCAGGCTCCTGCTCCCACAGCCCCCTCCCCTGGGCCGGCTGTGGGGGAGGCCAGACAAACAGGCCTCTCAGCCCAGACACTGAGCCCTTTCATGCTGCAGCCCGGCTGCTCTGCGCTCCCACGGCAGGGCTGGCAGAGTGGGGGTACAGGGCACAGTGGGCAAGTAGCTCATTCCTGCCAGCCCCCAGGATGGGTCTGCTTTGGAAGACCAAGATCTGGGGGGTAGGGGCCGCACACCAAGACCCCCCTACCTTATATCCAGATTCTCTGCTCTCCACCACGCCGCCCTGGGGGGTAGCCTGGAGCTCATAGCCCTGCTGCTGGAGGCTCAGGCCACCGTTGACATCAAGGACAGCAATGGTGAGGCCCCAGGGCACCCCCTACCCAGGTGGTCAGAGTTTGCCCCTGCTACATCGTTACAGTGCTCATAGATGTTGGCATAGCTTCTCTGAGCTTGCAAATGCTTTACCGCTTCAGTCTTCACAGCCTCTGGGGTAGTGGGTGGTACTGACATCCCATTATCCAGATGAGGAGGTTGAGGTTACATCACCGTCATGAGGTCACCAGATCATTTGTGGCAGGCTCGGTGGGATTCTGGCTTCAGCCTCATACAGCCAGACCTCTCCCTGACCAAACCCCGGTGAAGCCAGCATTGTTGGGTCTGTCTCCCCTCCAGCTGGGGTGGCTCCAGACTGCTCAGTTCCCTCCCCTGACCCCACGCCATCCTGGGACCTCCCTCAGAACCCCTTCCCCGCTGCAGGCATGCGCCCGCTGCACTATGCGGCCTGGCAGGGCCGGCTGGAACCCGTGAGGCTGCTACTGCGGGCCTCTGCGGCCGTGAACGCTGCCTCACTGGATGGACAGATCCCTCTGCACCTGGCTGCCCAGTATGGACACTATGAAGTGGTATGTGCACCTGCCTGCCTACAGGGGCGCTGAGACGGGGACAGGGGCTTGTGCAGGGGGCTGGCCAGGCCAGACCCCTCACTCGGCTGCCCCCACCCCAGTCAGAAATGCTCCTCCAGCATCAGTCCAACCCGTGCTTGGTCAACAAGGCCAAGAAGACGCCCTTGGACCTGGCCTGCGAATTTGGACGGCTAAAGGTGAGGCCTGCTGCCCTTGTGATACTGGGGTCTGGGCTTTTGTGGGGTCTTAGGAGGATGCCTTGCCTGAGTGCCAGTTGCCACAGGTGGCCCAGCTGTTACTGAACAGCCACTTATGCGTGGCGCTGCTGGAAGGGGAGGCCAAGGACCCATGTGACCCCAACTATACCACACCCCTGCACTTGGCTGCCAAGAATGGCCACAGAGAGGTCATCAGGTACCCACCGGGGCCCCCCCCACTTCCTCATCCTCTTCCTGTGGGACTGGTGGTGTCCCTTCAGTGCCCTGCCCTTCTGCCCTCTTCACCCTTGCTCTGGATCACTCTCCCGGCCCCCAGCAATTGGCTTCCTCTCCTGTCCCCACACCCACCCCAACCCATAACTCACCCTGCCCTCCACAGGCAGCTCCTAAGAGCTGGGATTGAGATCAACCGCCAGACCAAGACAGGCACTGCTCTCCACGAGGCCGCACTATACGGCAAGACCGAGGTGGTGCGGCTCCTCCTGGAGGTGGGTGTGGGCACCTGGTCTCCCCACAGGTGTACACGGATCCCCACCAGGTGCCAGGTCCATGCCCAGCTGGAGAGGTGCAGGAGGGGGTCTCCACCACCAGTGTGGTGTTTGGTTTAGGTGGGGCCAAGTGGCTGGAGAGCAGACAGACCTGGTTCGAGCCCCAGTCTACCTCTTACTAGCTGAGTGACCTTGAGCTTGTCCTTAACCTCATCTCTGTGCTTCCATTTCCTCATCTGTAAACTCTGAAAATAGTAGCTTCCTCCTGGGTAGTCCTTAGGATTAGGAGACATGACAAACCAGGTGTCACACACTCACACCGCACTGTGCACCCAGGGTGGGGTGGATGTGAACATTCGGAACACGTATAACCAGACGGCACTGGACATCGTGAATCAGTTCACCACCTCCCAGGCCAGCCGGGAAATCAAGCAGCTACTTCGGGGTGAGTGTGTTTGGGAGACCTAGCCCAAGGGGTCCAGAGCCACTCCAGAGGGTACTAGAAGTGGATAAGGAGTGGATGCCACACTCCTGGGCCCACAGCTGGTCGGGGGATGCTGCGGGAATGATGAGGCAGGGACCTGGGGGAGGGTCGTGAAGGGGCCTGGAAGACTGGAAAGATAATCTAAAGACCCCCAGATGACATCTGTCCTCCTACTTCTCTTAGAGGCCTCAGGAATCCTGAAGGTCCGAGCACTCAAGGATTTCTGGAACCTCCACGATCCCACTGCTCTCAATGTCCGGGCAGGTGACGTCATCACGGTGAGGACCCAGTGCAGGCATTCCTTTGTGAGCTCAAATGATTGCTGTCACTTACTTGGGTACCTACTGTGGATTGAGCTCTGTATTAAGGTCTTTATGTGTGCTGTCTCATTGAATTCTTCCCAACCCATGTAAAATAGGCACTCTCACCATTTCCTTTTTAGAGCTGACAAAATTGAGACTTAGAGAATTAAAGTGATTTGTCAAGAGTCTCAAGCTAGCAAGAGGTGGAGCTATGATTTGAATCCAGGACTCTTACTTGTATGCCCTGGAGGCACACAGGGGACTGAGCGGGATGCTGGCAGCAGCAGCAGCAGAACTGTGGGCCGGCTTGGACATCAGAGACCACCTCCTTGGAGGGAGGAGAGGAGCTGGACCACAGGTGCAGGAAGTTACCATTGTCATCATTCCCCGCCCCAAACTGCCACAGGTGCTTGAGCAGCATCCTGACGGCCGCTGGAAGGGCCACATCCACGAGAGCCAGAGGGGCACGGACCGCGTGGGCTACTTTCCCCCAGGCATTGTCGAAGTGGTCAGCAAGCGGGTGGGTGTGCTTGCACCCCGCCTTCCTTCGGCGCCCACCCCTCTGCGCCCAGGCTTCTCCCGGACACCACAGCCCCCTGCTGATGACCCCCTGCACCCTGTTACCTATGGCCAGCTGCCTCGGGTGGGCCTCAGCCCAGACAGCCCAGGTACATCCTCCCCAGGGGTAGTGCTAGGCACCAGGGTGGGCATCTGGTTTTGGCAAGCTGCCAGTCAGCTGTTGGTAGGGCCAGCTGAGGCTCTGACCCCTTGGCTTCTGCCCCCTGCAGCAGGTGACAGGAACAGTGTGGGCAGTGAGGGCAGTGTGGGCAGCATCCGCAGTGCTGGCAGCGGGCAAAGTTCCGAGGGCACCAATGGCCACAGCACCAGCCTCCTTATTGAGAACGCCCAGGTAGGAGGGAGGGGGCGTTGGGGCCAGGGCCAGTCCCTCCCCGCTGCTGCAGTTCCTCAAACGCTGAGTCAGCTCCTTCCTTGTCTCCAGCCGCTACCCTCTGCCGGAGAGGACCAGGTGCTGCCGGGACTGCACCCTCCATCCCTGGCAGGTAGGAAGGGTGACTGGGACCTGGGTGGGCTAAGAGAAGTGCAGGTGGGGAGGCTGAAGGCTCGGCAGCCCTTTATTCTGCCACCCTGATTCCATTTCTCTTCCTCCTTGAAGACAACCTGAACCACCGCCCTCTGGCCAACTATCGCTCTGGGGAGCAGCTCTTCACCCAGGATGTGAGGCCAGAGCAGCTGCTGGAGGGGAAGGTGTGACCTCTACTAGGGAGTGGGCCATAGGCCCATGGTAGGGGGTGGGGTGGGCCTCAGTGTGAACTTAAGTCCCTGCTCAGACCAGGTCCCTGGGGAGGCTGGGGTTGATGGCTGGGCTGTGATCTTGGCCTCCCCAGGCAGACTCAGCTCTGTTAACTTCACCCCCTCCCCCCACGCCACAGGATGCTCAGGCCATTCATAACTGGCTGAGTGAGTTCCAGCTGGAGGGCTACACTGCCCACTTTCTGCAGGCCGGCTACGACGTGCCAACTATCAGCCGCATGACACCCGAGGTAGGAGCCGCAACGGGAGGGCAGTTTGGAAACCAACGGGCAGAGAAGGGGGCCTGATGGCACAACTCTGTGTGGCAGGACCTGACAGCCATCGGGGTGACCAAGCCTGGGCATAGGAAGAAGATCGCCTCAGAGATCGCCCAGCTCAGCATTGCCGAGTGGCTGCCCAACTACATCCCAGTGAGTAGGCGGCCAGCACGGGCTCCTACCCTCACCTGGGGCTTTGCGGTGCCTTCGTGGCTTGGGGACCGAGGCTGCCCGGGGAGCCAGCTCCGATGGTGCTGTTCTTCCAGGCGGACTTGCTGGAGTGGCTGTGCGCACTGGGGCTGCCCCAGTACCACAAGCAGCTGGTGAGCAGCGGCTACGACTCCATGGGACTGGTGGCCGACCTCACCTGGGAGGAGCTGCAGGAGATCGGTGTCAACAAGCTGGGTGAGGACTGCCCTGGGCCTTCTAGCTGGGCCCCACGTGCTCCCCAGGGTCTCCAAAATGTTTTCGGGGTCCAGGAGGGACTAGGGTGACCCTTTCCAGCACCAGCTAACCTTGCTGCCTCTCCCCACCCCACTCAGGTCACCAGAAGAAGCTTATGCTGGGGGTGAAGAGGCTGGCTGAGCTTCGGCGGGGCCTACTGCAGGGCGAGGTCCCAGGGGAAGGCGGCCGCCGGCTGGCCAAGGGCCCGGAACTGATGGCCATCGAGGGGATGGAGAATGGGGACAGTCCGGCTGCAGCTGGCCCACGCCTCCTCACCTTTCAGGGCAGCGAGCTGAGCCCGGAGCTACAGGCAGCCATGGCAGGGGGTGGCCCTGAGCCACTCCCCCTGCCCCCTGCCCGTTCCCCTAGCCAGGAGAGCATTGGAGCACGCTCACGAGGGTCCGGTCATTCACAGGAACAGCCTGCCCCCCAACCCAGTGGTGGAGACACCAACACCCCACAGGAGAGGAATCTTCCAGAGGGCACGGAGCGGCCCTCTAAGCTTTGTTCCCACTTCCTGGCCAAGGACCCCCCTCTTATGTTTTTATGTACCCCCAGGGCTCGCTCTCCAACCCAGCTC